ATGAGAAATGCATCCCTTTCCTTAGTGAAAAGTTCCGCGAGAGTTTCGGCCCGAGAGAGTTCCACGTGAGAGGCCTTTGGTTCGGAGCTCGCGGAACGATACCAGACTCAACAAGGAGCTTCATGGAGGGCCTTGGTGTCGACATAAAGGACGTGGCAAGGTTGGCGCAGAATATAATCCTCGACTCCCAGGGAATCATCCACCACCATGTGCATGGGAGCGGATAGCGAGAGTGTTTGTTCATGGTGGGGAGGCATGCGTGTGTTCCAGCATTTTTATATTATTTATTTAACACATCCACTGTACTTTATGTATTTGTATGCATTTTATGAATTAGGTTAGGAAGAGAAAGGAGGGAATGTGAGGAGTAAGAAAAATTTATAAGAGGAGAGAAGGAAAAGAAAGGAGTGTAGAATGCTAATAAACGAATGAAATAAATAATAAAAAGAAAAAAATAGATTTAAAAAATAATACATATATATAAAAAAATATTGTATACTATGCTCGTTCATATTGTTAATACTATATAATTGTATATTAGTTTTAAAAAATCGTCTGTAATGATTAATAAGTATGCTGTGTTTGAAGAAACCCAATGTTATTGGGCAGCACCCTTTTATGAAAATAAAGTGATTCTCTCTCTCTTGCAATTTTTATTTTGACTGATCACCCCAACCATTCTTCTCTTCTGATATTAGAATAGAATAGAACAGAAAAATCAACTTCATTCTGGGACTAAGTCCCTTAAGAATATAAATAAGGACACAAATAAAGATCAATTCTGGCCATAAGGCCGATTACATAATGAGATATTAAATTAATTATCAAAGTATGAAGATAGTTATGAAAAATATTTTTAAAAAAATATAAACAGATAAGGACAAAAATGATTCTGCCGTAGGCCACAAAGTTATTTCATAAGAACCAAAATTGAAACAATCAAATTTGCTTTGTAAAAACAAAAATTATGTTATGTAAAATATAATTATTAATATAAATATTCTTTTTATTGTCATTTTTTCCTTCATTTGCTTTATATATTCATTTCAGTTTATTTTTTGTGATTATTTTTTTTTTTTTTTTTGTAACAGTATAAAATATTTTCTATATCACTTGCAATATCAAAACTAATATTTTAAAAAATAAATAAATTAAGAAATTCATTCTTTGTAGTACATATTTCAGGAAATTACTGATTATTTCATTAATAAATAAAAAATATTTAATGCTTTAATAAGATCACTTTTGGAAATAAATAAATTTCAAGACCTATTTTGAATAAAAAACAAGTTTTATTGAGGTTTGTTTTGGAGGGGAAAAAAAGTTATTAATTTATACTATAAAAAATTAACTTTTTGTTTACAATAATGGTACTATAAAATAAATTTATTTGTCATTTGAATAAAATGGTTGAAAAAATTTTGTTTCATTAAATCCCTTGAAAAAAAAAAATGTTTTTAAATATAAACATATCATCACTCAACTTTTTAAAATTATTTATATTCCTTTTATAGAAAAAAATAATTGCATCAACGGATTCCTTGTTTATTTTTACGTGGGAATCAATATTGTCTTAATCTCCATAAAAATCTATTAGAATTCACTTCGATATTAATGGACTGTTTTACTTAATAATTTTTGATTCACTAGTTTCAATCCCCATTGATCTTCCTCTGTATTTTTGTTGAGAATGTTGCTGTATTCAACTTCTACAAATGTCTTATTTTTCTGAACTCATCTAGACACTCACTACTTGCCAACCTGTCACTCTCTGCTTGTCTCGATTCTCTTTCCTCGCCAGCTGATTGCCTTCTGTTCTCAACATATGGCGCCTGCTTCCCCTTTCATCTGTCTTTATCTGTCTCTTTTTCCATCGTTGACAGTATTTCGTCACTGCTTTCATGTCACTATTTAAAATTCTATTTACCTGTTAAATTCACTATGTAATATTTACATTACAATATATATAGATATTACACTAGTAGTAATAGAATATAAATATAATGGACAACATTTTTTTAGAAAACATTACAACAAAATTTACAAAGGTCAATGATGAAAGAGACTTTCAAGAGATCTAATACTGCCTATGTACTGCTACACGCATTTTTAGACCTCCTGAAAGTCCTTTTTATCATTGACCACAGTAAATTCAATCAGTTTTCTAAAAAAATTGTTTTAACTTTATGATAGTGTACTTAAAATTTTATTATCTTTAACAGCTTTTGAGCAATGCCTTCTTATTCAATAAAAACCATGACCACATAAAATTTTTCTTGACTCATTTTCCATTCGGAATCGCCCCGAATTTTTTTGTTGCCTTGCGTTTTATGTAGAATCATCCCTCCTCCTTCCCATAGTTTGGCCATTAAAAACTGAGACACCCTGTATAGTTCAAAGTTCTTATTTTTTTTTTAAATAAATAAACATTGATTTATTAAACCAGAATTATTTAAATGCTATGTTATTAGGATTGTGAATAGAAATATTAACTTTTCGAATATATATTTTGGTTTCTTTGAAATATTCTTTCCTTTTTTAATTAATACACTTTTATTTTTAACCACAAGGTTTTTTTTTTTTATTAATGTGCATTTAGACACTTCACAAACTATGAAAAAAACAAATATTTAAATGGTTGTTTCCATCTCCTAGTGTTTTCGTTTCTTGTTTTTGATGTTTCCCATCTGCTTTTGATAACAACACAAAATAAATAAAAAAGTGTGGCTTATCACTAATGTCGCTTAAGTTAGATAATTGTGTTTCCAATAGTTTGCAAAATGTTTAAAGGCACCTTTATACTATAAACAATATTTCAGAGTCATGTTCATTCTTTCTTAAATTATTTTCAAGGACTTAAGAAAAATATTCATAAAGTATTTTATCAAATGAACAGAATAATGAGCATTGTTTTTTAAATATCAAATTAATATTTCTGACACATCTTATGGCTTTTCCTGCAAACCGAAAATAAAATAAAACCAAAAGTTAATAATCCTTTGGCCAGAAGGCTAAAATCGTATGTTCCTTCTTTTAATTATATTCTCTTATATTTTCATATATTTTTCCTCATGAAATTTCATTTTTCCTTAATTGAAGAACTTCTTCTGACTTAATCCTTCCATTAATTATATTTTTTAAGTCTTTTTTCCTAAATGACTTTTGTTTTATTTTTCAACCTTCACATATATCGAAAACCTAGTTTAACCAACAAGACATAACATGATTCTTGGAATTTTCGGAAGAATATTCATTCACCAACTCTCTCACAATCAGTTTTTTCCTCCTTGGTTTCTCAATGCTGTCTTCCTTAAGTACCAGTTAAAATCTGCTGTAGAACATTAAAAACAATATTTCTCTAGACTTATTTAAAATATTCAGTTAAACTGATAAAATATTTTATGTTCGACATTAAATTCTTTAATATCTTTTATCTTTAAGATGGTACTCTTATTTTTAACCAATCCGAAGGGTTTGCTAGGAAGATCATATCACTTCATAGGTCTAAAAATTTATATTATGGGTCTGCAGTTTCTTTCTGGATTATGTTCAGGTTCCAAATGTAAAAATCTACCATTAAGAGACTTTTTTAATATTATGATTTCTTTATTCATTACACAGTCCAACTGAGAATCACAAATTTAGTCTCCTTTTTTCTTATTTCTTCTTCCTTCACACTTCCCTCATCATCTTTTAGTGTTTTATCTCCGAATACTTCTTCTTCCACTCCTTTCTTACCTTTCCACTACAAGAACTCTCATTTTTTTCAGACTTATTATTGTAACAATATGTACTTATAAACAATATTAATTATAAATGAAAATGATTCTCGTTTTCAGGTGGTTAAGATGTTTATCTTGATAGTGATAGTGTTTGCTGTATGCTGGCTGCCATATCACCTTTATTTTATCTATACACACCACAGAAAGGAAGTTGTCTACTCCAAATATATACAGCACATATATCTTGGATTTTATTGGCTTGCAATGGCCAATGCCATGATGAACCCAGCGATTTACTATTTTATGAACCCCAGGTAACAGCAACTATCTACTTTATTACTTTATAGATATCTAAATAGGTAGATATGAACACATGTCTGTGTGTATTTGTATGACATTATTATTTTAATTTATTTACTTATACTTTCACTTTCATATATTGTATATATATTGTTTTTATAATGTCCTCCTCTACTTCTCTTTCTATCCAATTTCCCATAGAGCACCCTCTTTAGTATTCTTTAATCAAGTAGTATTCTTTAATATTCTCTCCACATGGTCTCTCCATCTTATTTGTGCTCTTTTTACCAATGACAAAATTCTTATCTATAAAACCAGAGGATATGTAGGTGAAATATGGATCATGACCAGAAAATCAGAATACAAGGTCAGCTCCTGGGAAAGATAGGTATTGAGAACAATATGGATTGGAGTCGCTGATAACATGATTTGGAGATTTGAAGAAGTTCCCTAGACAGTTCCAGCAGGTCCTCATTTCTTATTTTTCTCTAAAACCCATTCTCAGTGACTCTACCCCATATTCTTTTAAACACCTTTCTCTCCCAAGAATTGACCATGCATTCTGATTTTTTGGTCAAGATCCATATGTCTCCCATACATAACCTCATTTTTTTTTTAGATAAGAATTTTTATTATTCTAAAGAGTGATCTAAACTTCAAAACTCTTTTCAGTGATAAATAGCATTTATTTCATGATGCTATACTAGACTTTATTTCACTCTCTACTTTGTTATCATATGTATTTACATAGTTACAAAGCATAGTTAGACTTCCACGGGTTTTGTATTTGGCATTATGGAGTTGGTAAAAAGATGGGAACAGGTCATACTAAATAATGGGACAGTATTTAGTGTATTATTATATACTCAATACATTGACGATTAAAATAAATGTCAATCATTAACTGAATTTATTTCACCCTGAAAAACTGAAATGACTTATTTCAGCCAACCCAATATAACCTTACAGATTTTATTCATGATTTTCAGATTTCGAGAGTACTTCAGGAAGGCTATATGTGATTGGGACTGCTGTAAGAAGAAACAGAGCACTATGAAATTGGAAAGAGGAGAAACGCCACCGATTCGGAGGTTCAGTCATTCTTACTCAAGATCAGGAGGTAGTAAAAGCATTGTAAGATTTCTCATTTTCTAATTCATGAGGTTCTGAAATGCACAGTGTAGGGTTAAAATTTCTAATGAAAAATAAAATTAAAAATCTCTTTTTCCAAGTATACTTGGCTTTATGGCCACATGGACAACATTTTAATTTATATATACACTTAAGCATTAGCACCACATGAGCATGCATTGGCCTTGTTTTGATCAAAGAAATACAAGCAAATCAAATGAATCCATATGTGTTTCTGCCAAGAATGAGAAAGTTCCTAAATTTACCACTGAGCTGATTAATGGCTTTGGAAATCCATCAAGTCGTTCCTAAACTCATTGACAGAAACCATGGATGGAATTCAATGATTTGATCACCAAAAGTAAATTGGTTAAACTGGCTTTTAAAGTTAATGGAACCCTGGATGTGAACTCAATTATAATCTGAGTGTTGTTATTTCTAAATTTGCTTAATATATTTATATTAAATTTACCTTCTATCTATATTTTTTCTGTTTTGAAACCTAACAATTGTTGTTCTTATATTCTAACTATTGTAAAGGTTGTTCTAAAACTCAGCATAAATAGCTGTTTATTGCTGGAATCCATCAACGGAATTAGCACTGAGTTTAGTAACTTGTCCAATACTAATATTATTTTCTAATGTGAAAATAAATTATTGTAAAACATTAGGTGCAAAAAGATAAAACTATTATATATATATATATTTTTTTTTTATTTCAGAACTTTATCTATTGACTTATTATATTTTCATAGTTATTTTGTAAAACCCAATAATATGTAAAGTATGTATCCATTATAAATATATTCTTCTTCTTCTTTGATTAAGAAAAAAAAAATTCTTCAATACGGCAACCCATGGAAGATCTTAGGCTTAGTACTTCATATAGAAGTAAGAACTGTTTCTAACCTAGCAGTAGGGAGGTTACTTGGCCAAGATCATTCTCAACAGATTTTTCTTTCAGTTAATGAAGAGTTCTTACTTTATAAAGGCTGGGTGTGCCCCCAGAAGAGCCTAAAGACCATATAGCCTACGGTATTGATTATTAACAAGATTAAAAATCCTGCCAGTATGACATTTTACAGTGTTTGAAGTAATTTTAAAACCAGATACCAAATAATGAAACTTCATTTGATTTTTTTTTATTAGAATATTTTTTTCATTTCTACAGTGAGCCAGGTATATCAGTGGGTAAAGCACTGACTTCCTAAGCTCAAGGTCCTGGATTCGAATCCGGCTGATGTCATATAATTTTTTTTTCTGTAATATCAACCCAAGACAGGAAACCCTCCTGGAACACAATTAAAAATAATTAGTTAAGGCAGAAATATGGCAGTGGAGAGGGATCTTGGCCTGATTACCTTCCTGCAATCTTTTGTCTAGAAACAGTCCTTCCTTATAAAGTACTAACTAAACCTAAGACCCTTCATGGGTTGTAGTGGTACAGATTTTTTTTTTTTCATGTTTACTGAAATTTTTCAGAAAATGTGGTTGGTTGAGAAACAGCAATCTAAGTTTATCTTTTCTCTTAATCCACATTCTTCTTTAGCTGGAATAATGTCCAGAGTCCATTATTGCTAATCATGAAAAGTATAATAAAATGTGATAAATAATAGAAGTAAACAATTTCCCCCATATATCTTCCTGTTATTTATACACAAGCACCATTCCCTTAAATAAAAAAATTTCTATAATCTGCAATAAACTAAAACTTTCATTTTTAAGGAACTGCCGATGAAATGTCTGGATCTGCTGGCAGAAAAGGTGGCCACCATTTAATTGTAAGCTTCAAGTCACAGAAGAACAACAATATCGGTAACTCACACAGCCAACTGATCAGCTGAGACTGCAACATAAGATCGTTGAGAATCAATACGATTCCATCCACGGTGTTCACAGATTTCCAACAGCCTCATGAAAAGATGAGAGACTACAGTTTCAGTAACAACTCTTATTAATTCTTATAGTACTTCTATTTTTTCTTGTTTGGCATAAACATTTTTTTTATAAACTTTCTTGTTGATGAGTGTCATTATTAAGTGATTGTCTTGAACGCTACTATAACTATCACATTTATAACTGATATCAACTTCATTTTTGGTTTCATACTTGAATTAACTCATATATCATATAATAAAATGAGTTTTATTGGCAATATTTCATTAAATATTTCAATTTATTTTTAATTCTGAGAGTCTAATTAAATCTTTTCAAAGAAATAAAATTCCAAAAATTTGACAAATAAATAACTGAATTTTTTTTTAAATATTGTTTAATACTTATAATGATTGCTCAAAAATAAATTATCATAAATATCTGAATTAGTTGGTGATATTTTGTTCTTCTTTGACAAATATTTTATAATTTTTATAAATAAAAATAGAAAAGCTTGAAGATATATTTTGAAATTTATAAAATAAAATTTAAGATATTGTGCCCAGAAAATACTTTATAAAACAAGCTGGATTAGAGATCTAATCTAAACACATTAATTGTTTGTATGCAAAGAGGAAGAGTGATAATATTCCATCTCTTTCTCATTACAGAACTCATTAGCTATATACAGATGTTGTTCGTTTATGTAAATTCAAAAGTCAAGTTCAGACAACTATATGATAAGGGATGTCTTTATAAAAATAGAATTAATCAAGTTATTGCTCTAGCTTTCTTTTTATCTAAAAAAATATTTTTATTATTAAAACATTTTGGGTAGTTTCTCCATCTTCAAATATATTTTTTAATTAAAACATAAAAAATAAATTAGCATATCTTTTACAAATTGTATTTAACTCTTTGGACAGACAATGATGTTTTTTGGCTAAGGCCAATAGCGGTATTGAATATGCATATATAAAAAACCTAAAAAGATTCACTGTTTTTTCTCCAATACTTTTTTGACAATTTCTTTTTATGTGCTCTTGTTATTGCTTTCTTGTATTAATCTTTTTTTTCTTATATTTTAATAAATATTTTTACATACATTTGCCTATATAAAATATATAACAAGGAAAAGTACTGCGATCGTGAAAAATTTCGCAATTCTTTTAAAGAATTCTGACACCAAAACATTCTTTTAAAATATAAATGTAATTTTGAAATTACAATACATGGAATTAGACTTATATTTAAATAATTCTAACATAATATAATTCACTCCAATGATTATATGGTTATAATTTACTTTATGTTTTTTTCTTAGAAGCGCAAGGAAATGAAATTTTAATTGTCTCTAAACTAATTAAAAATATTTATCAGAGATGAATAGTGTGAATTAATTACTTTTTTAAGAAGTAATATACCGATGTGCAAGAAGACTAAACAAAAATAAGTTTTTAAATTTCAGCATGTTTTGAAATTTTTCAATTTACAAATCTTGATTTTAATATTTACTTTTATATAAGTTTTTGGAGATTAACTTCATTGTTATAGCTAATATCTAGAGTTTATAATAATATACTCATATAAAATTTTATTAAATGTATGGACCAGAAACAGAACTTTATAATTTGTAACTTGTTCGCCTGATATTATTCAGTTTAATAAATGTTTTAGAAATTTTAGAGACTGATAAATTTAAAGAAAAAAAATATTAAGTAATATTAGACTGTTTTATATTCTTTGAAGATCATGATTTTTAACAATTACCGTTTCTCTAAAATTTATATTATTTTATTTTACTTCTTAAACTCAGAGAAGCCTACAGTGTATCTGTACCATATCCATCTTTAAAATTATAACACATTATTATCAATAATATTAACAATTCGTACATGTTACATATTTTCTATTTATCATCCAACTATTATCTTACCATTAGGTATAATATGAGATGAAGAACATGAACACTGTTCCAATCTTTTATATTTTTTAATTTAAAAAGTAAGGAAAAAGGTATGGCTTGACATGTTAGAAAACATGTAACATATATGAATTGTTAATATTATTAATTATTAATAATGTGTTGTAATTAAAGAGATGAATATGGTGCAGGTACACCAAAAGCTCCTCTGAGCTTAATATGTAAAATAAAATAATATAAATTATAGACGGACTGTTATTGGAAAAAATCCTGACATTGAAAAAAAAAAAAAGAAAAAGAATTCAACGAAAATTAAATTAAAAACAGTAGTATTTCTTTCTATAATAATCTTAATTTATTCTTAATTGCATCAATTGAATATTTTTTCACCTAATTAAAGAACTTTATTTGGAAATAAAAAAAATGTAAAATTAAATGTATATCTACTCAGAATGTCTTTCAAATAAGTACATTTATTTTCACATCGCTGAAAAGAATTTCACTAATATAGAAAACGATTATCTTTTTCATGTTAAAAAATATTTGATTACATACGTAATCTAAAATATTTACATAACTCTTTTCCTATGAGATACGATCCTCCTACATAACTTAATAAAACGCAGGCCCTAAAATTAAGAAAGTGGTCTTTGTAGATTTATAGCTATTGACTGAGTCAATAATATTTTGTATATTTGTACACAAAGAATATTTATTATTTACAAAAATTTCAATTCATATATGTTCATGATTAAAAAAAACTATCAACATTACAAAAAGTATTTATATTTTATATTCATATTCAAAATGCATGTATATTTTAATATATATATTTTTTTTGTTTTAAATTAAATATTAAGGACTGTATATATCATATTTCTGTATAGTTATTACAAAAACCCAAAAAAAAATAAATGTATATAAATATATATTTGCTTGTACAGGGTGATTCTGTTGAGCTTTAATTATGTTATTGATTGGCAATAAAAAGAGTTTATATAACAATGACCTGATCAAGAGTTTTAGAGATGTTTTAAATTATGTTATTTTTCATTTTTATTTTTTTTTACAGGTAAAGATTTATTTAAAATATGTAAAATTAAATCAAATTTACATTGTTATAACAATACATTTCTTAACACGCTAATAAAAAAATGAGTCGCTTCTTTCCAAAGTGAACCCTAATTTATTTTTTTGTAAATAGAGTATTGATTCCTACTTAAAAATATACAATGAATATGATGGTGCATGTTTTTTTTTTCAACATGAACCTGAATATTAAAAAAAAATGGTGTGAAAATAATTTTATTTCAAAAATTGATCTTTTTTTTCAAGGAATGTAATGTTACTTGAATTTAATTAAGCATACCTAAAGAAGTTTTCAGTTCAAAAATTTAAATTAAAAAAATTTTAAGTTAAAAAATTAAAATAACTCAGAAAATAAAAATCGAACCTTCATAATGTAAGGAAGGGAAATGTTGAACGTTCCATCCTCTTTGTAATAAGCTATTATTCAAAATTTTATCTTGATGCAAAAAGGGCAAATATGGTGTGAAGGATCAAATTATAATAAATTTTATATTAAATATTGTCATATTAAATATGAATAACTTACTAAAATAATGAGAATATATTATCATGACATATTTTGGTTATTATAAACCTATTGTTTCATTTTTAGAGTAGGATACAAATGATGAGCATTTAGAGCAGAGTAATTTATACACAATTTTAAATTGTGTTTGTTATTACTCTGTGAATATACAAATAAAAAAAAATGTATAGTTCATATTATTAATTCTTACTTGTTGATGTTTTCACTTCTATCGTGTTTTATTAAGTAGTTTTATAACATAATTGTAATAACTTTTTTCCCCATTGAGTGAGTCATACACAAATTTTTTCTCTTAACCAATCCTCAATTGACCTTTTTTTGTTTCAAAACATACCTTTAAGTTTAATTCATTCCAAAAGCTAAGTTTTAAGTTTCAATGTCTTTTAATTACTACTAAATTAATCATTGATTTTCAGAAATATGTGCAACCAATAAAGAATTTCTTAATTTATTTTTTTAATAGAATAGTTGGAAAACTATTCTTTTCTTGAAAATATGATGTTTAGATATCACTTTGGAAACAAACCACTCAATTAGACTGGTGTCCATTAAGCTAGTTTCATCGGTTGCTCCTAGAGTGCACGACTATGCCACTTGAGTGCAAGAGGACATTAAAAATTAAATATTAGGCTAAAATGTTTAATTTCATAATAGAAAAAAAATGTTTATTTTGTTATAATTTTTGTTTATTGTATTTTTAATTGACTGATCTCCAACAAATTATACTTTGATAATTTAACATACCGATATGAAGAGCTCAAAGTTTAACGTTTTAATTTTTCATCATATTTTGTATTAAAATATCAGAAAAATTAGAGCTATATTGTATATTAAAAATTATTGAGGGAAATGGCATAATTCAGATAAAGGTTTTTGTTGTAAATAAGTTTTAAAATTACAATATTTGAAATATTGCTTTTCGAAATAGGATCAAAAGTAATAAGTAGCTTAGAAATAAATGTAATCTTATGAATAATTGGTAAAAACAAAATTTAAAAAATACTGATTTCATTTATAATACTGTTTTGACCACATTATTATATTGTGTGGTGAGTTGTAGAATTATGTAACTATAATTCAGTTCTTTTGAGAAAAATAATAAAATTAATATTGTTTTTTTCTATAATATTGTAAAAATTTTTGAGCTCAAGTCATTTTACAACCATTTATAATTTATATATAATTAGGTCTTTCAATCCTGATATGTTGAACAATATCTGTGAATTTCCCCAGCAATAGAATTAAATTTCCACAATAGTCACATGTGTAATATGTTATATACCTAACATGATGGAACCTTTCAGTGAAAATTATAATCCTATAATTTATAATGGTTTAGAGATGGTTGGCCATGATGTAATATGAGAAGGAGTTGGTTGAGGAGGTGCGGTAAAATAAATATAAAATTTTTAAAATAGTATTTTAATCGA